ACGTTCTGTGATTCTGTGATTCTGTGACATCCACTGAGTTTTTCCATTTGAGTGACGATGTGTGACATCCGCCCTGGAAATCTGCAAGCGAGCACTGCCTGTCCGATGCTCTGATTCACAGCTCTCACCCAGCCCTCCCCAATGAACAGAACCTAAAATTAGTGTCTTCCCAACACAAGCACATGTCAGATGTGGACAAATACATTCATGGTCCCAAACTTAAAACAACTGGTAAGAATTTCACAGTGATCTGGTTAAGGAAGCACAAAGACACATGATTACATTTAAGATGAAAATTGCCTTAAAACTCAAGTGAAGCTAAACTGTCATATGATGAGAAGCTAAAGGAACAAAGTATTAACCAATTAGAAAAGTGGCTCTTTCCCAACTAGTAACAAAAAACCTACAGCAATAAACTTAGGGTCCTACTGCTGCAGCAGCCTTTGAGGTAGGTGGCGATGGCTTAAACCGAGGTAGGTAAAGTCCAAACTTGTTTTCAATCCCTGCAAAAGTGGCAACTGCCAATTTGTAACCACCAACATGGTCAGGGTTAGGAGCAGGGAGTGTGATCCGAGATTTAGGAACTGGCTCTGATCCAGCTGGTTTTCTGCAAAATAATAAAAATAATAAATTAATTTCCGTAGAGTAAAACCAGTATTCACAAAAACCTCCTCCATAAAGTAAGCTGAATGAGACATCTCAGTGTACCTCCTGGAAAGTAACTGAATTAAATGCTACGATCTAATGAGAAATACCCTGTTATAAAACCTTCCAGAACAGTTAGGAGCCTTCATATTGATTATGGTCAAATCCAGATAAAATTTGCAGTGCCTTAATCAAAACTGCAGTGTGGGGCAGCTGGGGTTCGTAATCTCTGCTACAGCGCACAACCAATCCAGGACCTTAGCAGAGTTTAAATAATTTTTGTGGTGGCTTTCAAACTTCTGTCCCCAAAGCTTCATAAACCGTCTGCGGCTGCTCCTGGGATCACGTTCACCAGCAACATGCACATGCATCTGTACCGTCCACAAAGACAGGAGGCAGAGCTGAAGCTCCAACAAAGAGTTTTTGGACCTAGTAACACCTATGGACTGTTTCGGATGCCAAATGCTCTGCCTCATCAGGGGCACAGCTCCTCCGCCGAACTACTGAGGAGTAACGCAGAGTCTCCTGAGCTGACAAGCGCCGCATTCCCCTGCAGTTACATCCCCACTCCATTACTTGGCCTCTCGCTGTCTCTGTTTACACTCAGGTCCCCAGCTTGCAACAGCGATATAAAATGTGGTAATGTCTTGCTGTGAAATAGGTACTGGAGTATCATCCCACGCTCCATCAGTGCAGCGTGGCTTAAACATTTGCGGAGATTTGCAGCACATCCTAAGCAATAGCAAGAACCCGACTCTGGCACACTGAGGAGCACCAAGAGCCACGCAGTGCAGCTGCAGGGTCCCAGACAGCGTCAGACACCAAATACTTACACTCCCCCAAAGTCCACGTAAAACCACCTCTGCAGTAGCTCATAAGTCACCAGAGTTACACCAAACTGAGGAGAAGATCGAAATACACGAGCTAGAAAGAAAAGAAAACAGTCCCTAAGTGACAAAACCCACAATTAGAGATCACTGAGTAATCAAGAAGCTCTTTTACACACCTCCTGCTCCTTTCCACAGAGCCTTCGGACCTTCCTCTCGAAGGATCTTCACGAAGCAGTCCACAACGCCACTGTAGGTGGTCTGTCCTGCCCGGGCTGCCACCTGTAGCCTTGTTTTGATGACATCCGCAGGGGTGACCAGGGAGGCTGCAGGCATACCTACACACAACACAAAAATCATCAGTAGGGACCACCAACCTGTCACATATGCTACAGACCTCATTTACCCCAGGGTAATCATGCCTTTCGTCCTTGCATCAGGAGAATGCAGCCACATTTGATTTAAGCAGAGGCTGGGAAGAAGGACAAGCAACAAGAGGCACCCACTGTGGATGTGGCTTCACTCAGAGAGGGCTTATCCTAGAGAAACAACCACCTCAAATGCTTCCTGCCAAGCTGGGAGGCACAGGCTGGCTTCCTCAGCGCTAACCAGAAACTTGCATAGTTCGTAAGCACAAAGTTTTTGAAGGTGATCTTTCCCTTTCCTTTTCACGCCTCTCTGTGGTTCCTGGCATTCTGGTTGCACGCTGTGCTAGGATAGCCTGTACACACACACACATACACACACACACACACAGAGCAATGGTACCGAGAACCAGGTAATGCCAAGCACGCTCAGCAAGGCACAAGAGCTCAGGTTTTAAAAAACAGAGTCATTTTTCTCATTAGGAATGGCAGACTGCTCAGCTGCAAAGCCACAGCTGACATCCTCAGCAGAACGCTTCGACGAAGATTTAAATTTACCCTGGCAAGTAATCAACTGAAAGCAAAAAAATACCAAATTACCAATGGGTGGTATTTCTAAAATCATTCCTATGCAAACTGGGGCTGCCCATGTTTAGAACTGAAGGGGAAAAAAAGAAAAACGCCAAAGAAAAAGTGCGGAGGAGACTGCACCCAGAAGCCAGTGTCTCTCACGGTTTTATTACTTTTCCATTCTGCATCTGTTCCAAACCAACTTGGTCAGATGTAAATGCATAAATCTCCTTTGTTTTTGTTTTTTTTTTTAGGCTTAATAATTCTGTAACAACTTTTGTCCAAACCAGCATGCTCTGGCTTCAAGCACCAGAGCACCCTTTCTGGAGACTGCTCAGAGATGCAAGCGTGTGTGTATCACCAAAATAAGAACTCCTCCTCCTCTCCCGGACTCCCCAAAATAACGCACAAGCTGAACTCGCACAGCGGTCAGTCTGGCAGGCAAGTGCTAAAACCCAGTAAGGGTTTCTGACTCCAGAAATGCTGAAATTACTCTTTGCTTAGCCTTAACCACACCAGGATATTGGTTGAGTCTTCAACTTAAAGCCGGACTTTTGTCCTTCAAAAGCCAACCAGTGTTTTCAAGGAAAACCAAAGGACATAGTTAGAAACAATTCTGCTTACTACACGTTGACTTCCATCTCCTTGTTCCTCATTCCTTATTACTGAAGATACTTTGCAGTTAAAGATGTTTTTAATCCTGTTTTTAGGAGCTATGCATACAGGACAAAAGACTTTACAGACAAATAAAAATTTACAGGTCGCTGCCGTGAGGAGCTTACAATCGAAATGAGACAAACGGCACAGCAGGAGCTGACCATTAAGAAGAGGAGCGAGGAGAGGAGAAGGAAGTTCATGGAGGCAATAAGCAGATGGAGCAAATTAAGGAGAGATCCTGTAGCTGATATTGGAATCATCTCAGCAAATGTCGTGGCACAACAGGTTGAGACATCTGGCAAACCGTGGAAACCAGAAGAAGATTGAGGTAGACGACGCGCACGTTGCGTGTGTCCCTAACGACAAGGGAGAAGGAAGAAAACGCACCCAGCACCAGCAGCACCCGCTGGCAAAGGTGCGCATCCGGGCACGGCTGCTTGACCATCCCAGCAGCAGGGGCTGTGGAAAGGTGGAGATTCCCAGCCCCAGATGGAGCCTGTGCACACCTCTGAACACTGAGGACCCCGTGAGATCCCGGTCAGAGCAGAGCCACCAGCCCCGAGACCGAGCCAGTGTTTCAGAGGTGGTGGGGGTTTTGTTTTGTGTTCCCCTCGACTTTCTCATGGCTAAACAGCAGCCACATACGCCCCCACCACGCTTTACTTGTACCCATTAAAATAAACTCCTTGTTTTTGTAAACAGTACGATGAGTGTTGTATCTTTAACACTGTAATTTGCCCATGAGTTAAGCTGGGATTCACAGGAAGCATTGGATAAAATTCACATTATAGCTACTTGGGTAAGCCCTATCAGCAACAATAAAGGCTGCTTCTGTGCCTGAACTTCAAAGGGGCCCTTATCTCAGTCTGCAATCACCTGACAATGGCTAGAAAGAGAAAAATAGGAAAATCTAAGAAATTACTTGGCTTAAAAATGCCAGCTTATGTTTCAAGTCTGTAAATATGATCTAAAGTTCAAAAATTGTTTTGTTCCATTAAAATGGGTGAGAAATAAACCGGCTGTAAGCTCCTGTTGGGAGGCTTGGAGGCTGGGCCTGATTTGGGGTGGGGGAAGGGAGAGGACAAGGGGTTTTAAGCAGCAGTCATTTGAACATGGATGGTCTTCCTGGTGCCAGGTCAATTCCTATGGACTCGGAGCTACTGAACACAGCACAAACCTAGAGAGCTGAAGCTGCGTGCTTCAACAAGACTGACCAACTGCTCCGCACCGTCAGGCTCTGGCTATATCCTAAACCCAGATATTGGCCACAGGAAGTCACTGGTTCTTCAAGAGACACAGCCCCATGTCTAATCCTGACTGAGAACAGTTTCCCTAGGGAGAAGAAAGCTTAAAATCAAACAAGAAAATACAGCTAAACCACCAACCACCTATCTCTACTGGATTCAAGCCACTCCATCGTTTTTCTCATCCAACAGCTCACAGCAACCTGTTAGGGCAACACTGGAGAACCTGGCTGCAGCTCTGAGAGACCAAGCATCCCCCGATGAACACGATGGATGGAAACACCTGCTGATGGGAGCCCTCCCACTTGCTCACACTCCCCAAAGGTCTTGTTACTCAAATTTCCAAGCATATTTGTTTCCTGAAGGGAAAGCCTTGGACAGAGGAGGAGGAGGGCTCTCAAGCCAAATGGTGGTGCCCTTTGGGCGTAGCAGCGGAGTGCTGTGCCAGCAGGCTATGCAGCAGGCACAAAGGCACGCTGAGGCTGCAGAGCGTCTCCCTCTTTCCCCTTGGGCTCTGGCTCATTCGAGTCAAACGCGTCCGTGACAAGTTAAGCACGATTTGGCTCTACGAGGCAGGTCAAAACCAGCAAGCGCTCGAGATCACACTCAACACCTCTGTCATATCTGGACACTAGGAATTAGCAACCTACGGCACAACAGAAATGTTTTCAAGCTTTTCCATTTTTTTTAATACAGGAAAAAAAAATGGTGATATCTTCACAAAGCCAAGGAACTATGGGATATATGGGGAGCACGTAAATGTCATCATTTTGTCACAAGCTATGCCATTGTGTTCAGAGAGCTGTACTGCCAGCATGGCTTTTGGACTCTACATACCAAAATTCAAGACTCCTTTGATCATAAAGAGTTTTTTAAAATGCTGTGATTTTGTTTCTAATCCATTTCAGCAAAACTTTACCAGTCAGCCAGCCACAAACAAAAACAGCACAGCAACTTCACAAGGAAAGGCAATATATGATGACAAAACACCAACACTTAAATCTTTCCCTTCGTTTTTCCTCTGAACATTGTGACTATACCAGGAACTTAGAGTATTTTTATTTTTAACATCAACTCACTCTAGAGCATGGTAGAGCTTTCTGTTCTTTGGGCACAGGGTTGCAAAATGCGTATACTTCTTCTGAGCTTTTCAAAGTTCTCATGCTGCAGGTGCAATCTAGCATAGACGTACACTGTGCACTGCGCTGCAGGTGCAATATAGTGGCATAAAAAAGAAATCACTTACCAGCTATAGATCCAGCCAAGAGCAGATTTCCAGGGCTAACCCTCCCATCTTCATTTGCAAACGAAGCTTTCAAATGAGCATAACAGGGGAAATAAATGGCAGAGAAGGGGATGTCACGCAAAAAACACGCCTTAGCGCCCTGCATTGAAAAAAGAGAAGATTTGAGATAGAGCAAATTTAACTATGAACAACAGAGAACAGTGAAACACTATATTTTTGTTTGTTTGTTTTGTTGCAAAGAGCTTATAGAAAAAGCATTTCCTTCTCTCAAAATTCTGAGAGATCCATGTATTTCACCCTGCCGAGGTGTGTCTGTGTTTCTTGGTTCAGTAATTTCTGTCATTGTATTTATCTTGTCTGTTTGTTCTCCCTCACTCCCTAGTACTGCAGTTATTTGCTGGCAATAGAGAAAATGTCATGTGTTGGAGTATACTCTGATAACACCTTTGCAGAATTTTGAATAGTTCATGTTGTAGCCATGCACCTGCAGTGGGATATGTCTGAAGAGGACTGAGCCACAGGACAGGTCTGTCCCCTCTCATTCCCGCTTAAAATAATTATCTTGGGGAAAACAGTGCCCAGTTCATATATCTATGCAGATATTGCAATTGATAATGCAACACGAATTGAAGGAAAGAAGGAAAATAAGAGAGTAGGACCACAACATTATTTTGCAGAACCAACCAAAATAAAATACCAAGTAATATCTATGTTCCAACAGCAAAAGGGGCTTGTAGTCTGCCTTTCCTCCACATCGAGATCCAGAGGACACCAGAGCCTGAACACACCAGGACTGAGACCAGCATGAAGGCACAAACAGGAGGTAGCATTGGAAAATGGGTAAAATCTTTCAAGCTTGAGAAATAAATGATTTGTGGATGAGCCTAAACCTCCTCTCCTTGAAGTAAGGGTGGCATTGTGGTGAAACTGCTTGAGGTCCATCCAGGAGCCCTCCTGGGCTGCCCTTGCTACTGTACTTCTCTTGTGTACAGGTCTACCAGGACATGGCTTGCTGCCAAACGTTTCACAGGGGACATGCTAGTATCCACAGAATTTAATTAAATCTAATTATACTCCTGGACATATCTGTAAGCTTAGCAGTGAAAGCAAAGATGTAAGAGTTGCAAGGTGTCAGAAAAGCTGCAAAGACACCTTTCAGCCAGGCAAGGCAGGGGCGGGCAGGCGAGCAAGATGTGTGACGGGAAAACCAGGTCCTGCGAGCCTGTTCTCAGGAGATGCTAATATGTGCAGTTTGCAGTCACAAAATGCCTCTGAGAAAACAAGGATTTACCGAAAAACAGCCACTAGATCTTCTAGTCTGAGTGTGTCACACACTCGGTTACAGAACGTGGTGAGCAGAACACGCTTTGCTTCAACCCCGGCTGCTTTCCACCACACTTTCCTCAGGTTATTTCTGGATGTTTTCAGACTGGGAACTGACCCATTGCCCCCACAGTCTGTTCACAGGTCAATGACTCCTGCTGTTAAGACCCTTTGCCTTGTTGCTTGGCTGGATTTGTCTGATTTATGCTGCCAGTCACGGCCTTTCTAGATACACTAAGGAGCCTTTCCTACTTTAGGAAGATGCCATAAGGGAACTGGAAGCGCTGCCATCTCAGCTGCTCTGCTGCTCGCCCACACTGCGTGGGGTTATCAGCCAGAAGCGAAGCGGTGCTGGGCTCGATGCTCCTCTCCAAACTACCTGCAAAGCTCACCACGCTTTACCCTGAGGGCATGGATAGGGCAAACCTTTCGTATTTGCCGGAGACATACGAATTCTGGCCCATGTGCAACAGAAAGCCTGCTTCACAGTATACCTTTAATCTTCACATAAAAAGGAGAGACTAGGACTTTACCACGTTTTGTATGACAAAACAACTTTTCAGTGATCAAATGTCTGCACTGTATTTACCTCACAGAAAAATTACGAAACTCACTAGCAAAAATTTCACAGACCAACGTGATTTGTTCCAAGATTTCTTTTTAGAGCGTGCTTTTTTCCTCAGAGCAAATCTCCTTGCTGCCTTTGCCCTCAGGACGCATTACTTTTATTTTCTTTGCAATGCTGTCATTAAACACTCTGCACATTTTTTCCTCCGCATTTCTTTCATATTCTAAAATATCTCAACATAGTTAAAATAACTTACAGAAATCAAGAAACTCCAAATGCAAGCAACTCTTAATCCAAGCTGCTAATATTCCTCCCTCTTCATTAAAAATCTCTTTTTCATGGGGCAGAAATGGTATATTGTTAATATCGCTAGTAATATATGTTCGGGTACCCAGAGAGGGAGGGATGTCCATCAACTTAGTTGGCTTAGTGTAAACAAAACCTGGGTCAAAACTTGGATCCACTTTAATAATAACCCAGCTTGGCTCCGGTCCAGCATCGCAACAGTCTAACGTTTCCCCCCCCTGCGCTCAGTAAAGTCTGGGAAAGCATGTTTCAAAACAGGCCTCATTTAACTTCAAGTTAATCATCTGCAACCAGCCTAGGCCAATTAGGAAGGTTTAGGGAGATTGGCTGCAGTATCTTGAAAAGCAAAAGAAACATTTATTTTACTTCTCGCACCTTTTTGATGTGGACAACGTGCTGAAAGCCAAAAGGAGTTTTAATCAATCCCCAGAAAGCTGTAAGGATCATCCGCCCGAGTTTATTCTGGCAGCCAAGGTGCAGACCTGCCAGGCATGAAATTGTTGGGAGATCCTACACACCATGACATGCGCTTCCCTCCCACAACAGCCAGTTGGCTCCCATCTTCAATCTCTTTAATAACCTTAAAGCTCTTAATCTCGGATAGTATCTCGCTGAATAAACCAGCGCAGGGAAAAAAACCCACCTGATTGTCAAAGATTTGGATAAATACGGATAAATAAGCCGAAGTCAGCGCTGGGGCAGGTTCTTTAGCATGCTAATTCCTGCTTATACCAGCTCTACCTGCAAATAAGGCTCTAAACAAACTATTTCTACTACAAGGGGAAGGTAATTATACTGACAAAGGCACCTCTGTGTCGGGTTGGGCAGAAGGAGCCGGCAGGTCTGGGAGACGCGGGCTTAACCCAGTCTCCTGCAGTGAATGCACATTGTCTGGTGCAGGGGGAAAAATGCCAGACTGGGGGGGACCCAGCAGCACTCAAGACAACAGTGGTGCACCTTGTCTGCCAGGGTTATTTAATGCTGCTGGCACCTGTACTTACAGCCACCCCCTCTTTTTCTCCTTTACAGGTTTAGAATTTATTTGGCATGTATAATTGTTATTTTGATCCTATAGCTACAAACAATAGGCAGCATGTCATTTCTTGATCATTTTGCATTCTTCTTGGGTTTTACTACAGACTTAACCCTTTGGAATCGAAGCCCTAATGGGACCTACCAGGTTTTGTAACAGTCGGTTAAATAATACTGGCATTTGCTTTCAGGGGCTGTAATTTTTCCTACTGTAAAATGGCACTGCCTTAAAAGCTGCTATAGGTTTTTATTCACATGTATTTATATTTTTACCAATAGAAATATGAAACTGATTTAGCACATCAAGTTAGGGGAATAAAATGCTGATTTCAAATGCTGTGCCAGCAATTCAGATTCAGTCTGCAGACAAAAATACAGCACTTATTAGTTGGAAGGGCTTTTTTTGGTTCGTTTCCAATAAAATTCCTAAAGAGCAGGTTCTCACATAGGAGAGCACAGTCACAAATAGGCATGATGGATGCAAATTAATGTAACTTAGAACTTTTGATACTCTGTTTTGTATGTTTATCATCCTGCTGTAAACCCACGGCTTCTAAGAGGTGAACTACATCAGCTGCTATCAAAGCGACCAGGCGGGAGCTTGATACACATCCCGTCACCTCAGATTACACTTCCAGGTCAACAAACCAGAAGCTCATTCATGAAGTTGTGGAAACAAAAAACAAAACAAAAACCCAAACAAACAAACAAACAACCCCAACAAACAAACCAAACAGATACTTTTGGAAGCTTTTCTGACTAGTTTTGAAAAAGCAAACTGTGTTGGCAATACCAGCCAAAGCACAAATCTGAGCTAAATATCTTCAAGTAATTGTAACATAAACATTACCACAGCCTACTTATCCCTTTCCTCGAAGAATCTTCTACTACTGTATTATTTAACATCTTGGGATCACAGAATAACTTTGTTGTGCAAAATTATGGAGTGGCACTATCTGTTACACTGTTCAGAAATATTACTTATAAAAAGAGTAATATTTCATTAAACATTCTATGGCAGATATTATAAGGATATGAGTTTCTATGATGTACAAAATAAGTAGGTGTACTTACAATGTGTATTTACATAAGCACTTTAAAAATCTCTTTCAAAACCAATAGAATATAAATTCAACTGGTTTAATGGGACTTTGAGCACATGACGGTGTAAGACAGAAAATACATTAGCTAATCTTGTATGATTACTTCAAGATTCAACTGTGACCAGAAATTAAATAAAATCCATTAAAAATACTGAAAATGAGAAATGTATCCTTCCCCATTTCTGCCAATACAAATGACATTTTGCGTTAGGTTAAATGATATTTTCCCTGAGAGGGATACGGTGTCTCTGTATTTTTAAGAGTAGCTGTCATCTACAGAACATCTGCAGCTAAAGAAGAATTTACTAGTCCTAAGCTTCCATGCCCTGGTGCCTTCACTGCAACAATTACTGGCAGAAGCAAGACAAATAGAGGAATTATTTACACAAGTAGTTCAGAATTTTAGACAAAAAGCAGAAAAAATATTGGCTTTCTAGCTTTAAAGAACTACAGGGGTTCAAACCAGTATTTAGCCTAATGAGTTGTACGTGTCAAATCTTTTTATTGCTGGAATTAACATGCATTTTATTTCTAAGCTGTATATCATGACAGAATTGCTAGTATCTGAACACCCAGTGAAGATGCAGAGTCTGGGAGGAAGCTTTGACTTTAAATTGTTGTACTTACTATCATGAACAATTAGTTGAAGTTAAAAAACCCTTCTGTCTTTCCAGACCCTGTGGTCTTGAGTTCTTTGGTGGGGAAGGAAGAGAAGGAGAGGACATTTAAATTATTGGACCTGGATGTCCATTTACAATGATAGTGATTTTCCCACAAATAAAAACTTCTAGAGTTACAAAGGTACAC